TATGTTGTCCTCCCTTACCCCTATGAATCATTATTAGTCCCTTGTGAATGTGTATCTGTAAATCGCTCAGAGCCAGCAGCTCTGCAGGATTGAGCGATTAATAAATTGAAAGAAAGATTATTATTATTATTGAGAGTGTCTAAAAACTCAATCTCTTTTCTCAACTTGAACACATATTGATTCAATCAATGTGTGAGTAGTTAAAATTACCTATTATGACACAGTTATTTCACCTAGCCACTATCTTTAATTCATTCATCATTTTATAATCCTCCTCGGTCTTTTGATCTGGTGGGTGATAAACTCCGAGTGTTAAGCTTCCTTTTGGGCCCACTATTTCAACCCATAGCATTTCCAGAAGTGAATCCAATTCTCTTACCCTCTCAATCTTACTGGACTGTATATCCTCTCTGACTTACAGAGCCACCCCACCTCCAACCCTTCCCCCCATCCTTCCGATATGAATCACCCTTACCCACTGATTTTCCTCATCCCACCAAGTTTTTGAAATACCCACAATGTCTGTTCCTCCCACCAACACCAAGCATTCCAACTCCCCAATTTTACCTTGGACCTTCCTCTTGCTGCCTCGAGACCTTGCCAGGCAGTCTATATCATTAGCCACGGTCTCAGTGGACAATTCTAATCCATTTCCTTGTAGAAAAGTAACAGCTACCCCTTCATCTCTGTCAGCTAGCTGCCATGTTTTGCTTGCTCCCTCTCTGACCCTGGCGCTACGGCGCATGCTTCATAGCTTGCTCGCTGCTCTGCCCACTTGCCATAAACAGCGATAGGGAGACCGTGAGAACCAGTGCTGCCAGACTGAGTTATCTGTCTGACTTTGTGACGGAGGGAGGGCTTGCGTTCCACCGCTGGTGTGAATATTCTGGCTCTCATGAAGCACTGAGACTCTCCCGCTTATTATGTAACCTCCCGCCGGGAGAATTCCCCCGCGCGCGCTCGGATTTCATTTGCCTCATCCTGCTATATGTAGGGATGTTTATAAGAACATAAGAACATAAGGGATGCCAATGTTGGATCAGGCCAAAGGCCGATCCAGTCCAACACTCTGTATCACACAGTGGCCAGAAATACCAGTGCCATAAGGAGGTCCACCAGTGGGGCCAGGACATTAGAAGCCCTCCCACTGTTGACCCCCCACCCCCCCAAGCACCAAGATGACAGAGCATCACTTGCCCCAGAGTCCCTAGCTATACCCTGGTCCATATGCTTATCTAATTCCCTTTTGAAGCCGTCCATGCTTGTAGCCACCACCACTTCCTGTGGCAGTGAATTCCAAGTGTTAATCACTCTTTGGGTGAAGAAGTACTTCCTTTTATCTGTTCTAACCTGACCGCTCAGCAATTTCATGGAGTGCCCATGAGTTCTTGTATTGTGAGAAAGGGAGAAAAGTAACTCTTTCTCTACTTGCTCTTTCCCATGCATAATCTTATAAACCTCAATCATGTCACCCCTCAGTCGTCGTTTCTCCAAGCATACCAGTCACTGTGTGGCCAGTCACACACAGCTTAGAGGGAACATCACTTACAGTAGAGTCCTATCAAGAGTCACACCGTTCTAAGATCACTGAAGATTGTTACTCTGCTTAGGACCACACTGTTTTATGACTACTATAATGCATGATCATTGAAAATAAGTTTAGGTCTTAAATTTCTGCTTAACATGGCAAAATCATATGTTCAGAATTACTGGCTTGTATTCAACCATGCAGCTTAAAAAGGGCACAGTGCCACCAGTCCTCCCCTTGCTGCTACAGCCCACTGACCCCTCTGGAATTTGGTTTTGGGGAGGGATCAATGAACTTTCAGGAACAACATAGTGGGGACCTGTAATGAGAAGAGGGAATCAACAGAAGTTACTACCCCTTTTAAGACAACAAGTACTCTGGGAATGTGGTTATATACAGGCCAGGTAGCAAAGGTGAGGAGTCCAAGGAGTCAAATGTGGAAAACAGGATCATATGGAGATGGGTTTATGGAAGTATGAGATTTCATTTCCGTGGTAATTTCAGAACTGTATACTACTCCTTGAATGGAGTATCTTCTGGATTCTGACATACGGAACTTCCTATAAAATGAAGACACCTGGAAAACATGCCTCTAGTCCCAAATGGGAAACAAACCCACCCAATGGAAATGTGGTAAGTCTTAAAATACATTCTTCTCTTAAAAAAAACAACACTTGATAGCTACTTATTCTGTGGGGAACAGGGTAGGTTGCTAGGCCTCACAAAGCTCCAGGTGTTGAGTGGGTAGGGGAGGGAGAGAAAAGGAGTGCCGTAGGTGTTTTCTTTGAATATTTGTGTGTGTGTGTGTGGGGGGGGGGCGACTGAATTAAAAAAAAAAACAAAATCTGTGGACATGTACCTACAAGCGGGTAAAGCAATCTTGAAAATATTATAATCTCCTCCTTCCCAATATCTGTGACCCAAGCATCTGATGGTCACTTCTCCCATTTAGCTAGTACAAAAGGCATTCACACATTAGCAGCAGCTTCCTAGGAAGTTTTAGTAGTCTTCAAAGTACCAGTGAATTTTCAACCCTCAGTTGATCATGCTCTCAGTTTGACTCCCCAGCTTAGGTTAGACCTGTCTTTCCTCCTAATTTCAGAGGTAGGCAATGGCCATTTGATTCTTCTGCACAGGCTCAGAGGAACTAATCATCATTACTTTGCATGTCCCAAGGTTGGGTCCCAGCCCTTATAAAAGATGCTGTGCAATTAAAGCTCTAAAGACTTCTCAGCTTCCTTTCATAATTTATATTTTTGCTACATGGAAAGCATTTGTTCTGTGCAGGAAATAAAATGCAGGCTTCATAATAACAGTCATGTGCATTTTGCTGCACTTACACAAAGCCTGCATGTGCAGTTTATAACAGCTTTTCCCTGCATGTCCATGAAAATACAAGTATGTGCAATCAGTACATGTAATAATGTAAACATCATTTCCAGAACAGAAAAATGTAATGTAGCATATAAACAGCCTTCTAATAGACTTTCTTTTACCATCCATTATCCACTGCAATGGTGAGAGATATTCTGACTTCACTTCTTTGAGAGTTAGCCCCACTGAATGCAGTAGGAGTTATTTATGAGAAAACATGAATAGGACTGGGCTGCAAGAACTTCATCTTTCCTAAATTCCCCATCCCCAGCATAAGACGGCCTGCCAGTTCTCTTTCGTCAGATCTGGTGTTACATGGATGAAATACAAGTAAGCACACATTTGGCATTCCAACAACTTGCTCTCAGTAGGTGACTACCTTGTTAGACTTTTCACATGACAAAGCAAAACAGCTGATTTTTAGTAAATGATTATTCAATATTAGTGGAATCTAAGGACATCTTGTTAAATAACATCCAAGGCCAGGCCCAGGCCCCAAAACAATGACACAGAATGCACATACAGAACTTCCATGCATGAATGCAATGGGAATTTGTCCTCAGATTTCATTATGAGATGGTGATGCCATATACATATACAAAATCCATCAAGCCCCAATTTATTCAATGGCCAGCCCATTGCTTCTGAGAGGCCCACTAGCAGTGAATGAAGGAAGTCACCAGTCCAGGACCAAATAAAAACTGCTAGGCTCGGTGAGATGTGGAATTAGGGTTGCCAGCTCTGGGTTGGAAAATACCTGGAGACTTTGGGGGTGGATCCGGGAGAGGGTAGGGTTTGGGGAGGGAAGGGACCTCAGTGTGATACAATGCCAATCAAAGCAGCCATTTTCTCCAGGGGAACTGATATCTGACACCTGGGGATCAATTGTAAAAGTGGGAGGTCTCCAGGACCCACCTGGAGACTGGCAATCCTATGTGGAATGGTATAGTATAGTCCAATCTTGTAGGATCTTGGTACTGGGATTAGTGACTACCAAGGAAGACTTTGTAGAGGAAGGCAATGGCAAACCACCTCTGCCTAATTACTTGCCTTGGAAGCTCCTTGCTGAGGTTGCCATGATGGCAGGATGGAGGATTTGGCTTTATAGGAATCAGAAGGACCAGGTTAGCTGTAGTGACATGTCTCATTACACCCAGTTTAAGGAGCCATCATCACTACCAGATCTGGTGGGAGCATCTGTGAATTCTGCATTGTGTGCAGTATTTTCTTTTGTTTGTCTGAATCTGCTGCCAGCCCCTTTCATTGGGTAACCCTGAGATCTCATTGGGGGTGGGGGAAGAGAAATATTTCTATCCACTTTTATCTATCATTTCACCGGATCTCTCATCCTCCCCACCCCACCCCACTACGGAAAAAAGGCCGGACCGTTCAGCTGCCTGTCTTAAGGAAGGGGGTTCAGTGGCTTGAGTACCGTGGCTGTTCATTTCTAGCTCTGTGGAGATGCTTGTTGGGAAGGAAAATACACAATTATGTCTCAAAGCTTCCATAGATCAAATCCTGGAAGCCGAGCAGGACGGGTGCAAAACCCTCCACACGCATCCTTGAGTAAAATAATGAGTAAGGCTTAGGCGGGAGCGCTACAGGGATATCTCATCCTCTTCTCCCGCCTCTCACGCCGGGAGGGCCATGCCTACCAACATGGTGGAGGTGTGTATGCGAAAGAGCGAGCACGCGCGCGTTTGCTCTAGCCTGGGCTGCGGCTCCTTTGTGTCTCTGTCTCTCTCTCCAGGAGAAAAGCCTGGGCCACTCGCTCCCAGCCTATGCTGGGAGGGAGGAGGAGGAGGGAAATCCTACCCCACCCCCTTCTCTTTGCCGCGCGTGTCTCCCCGACTGTGTGGGTGTAACAAACAGATGAGCGCTTTTAACCTCCCCCCACAAGCGTCGGGCCTGCTTGCTGCAAGGCGCGCACGCGCCCCACCCACCCTGGGCTGCAGCTCTATTTCTAACACCACCGCCTCCTCCCTCTTTCCCAGGGCAATTACCTGTCTGTAAACCCCGCCTCTGAATTGATTGACGGTCGGGATCACGTGGGCAGGGGGAGGAGGAGGACGGCCGGGCGAACGCTTGCACCTGGAGCTAGAGGGGAGGGCGGACGGGGATGCGCTCGGCTGGGGCGGTCGCTGCCAGCACTACTTGGGTCTCCGCAGCCGACGCTGAGCCACGGCGAAACCAGTTCCAGACCCTGGTGGGGGGGCCATGGTGGCGGCTTCTCCCGCTGCAGCCGCGGCCATGAGGAAGAGCTTCCTGGTGCCCGAGATCAAGCCCTTGGATCAGTATGATTTCTCTCGGGCACGCAGCTCTGCCAGCTTGGCTTGGGTGCTCGCCAAGGGCTATGGAGGTGCAGGTATCAATGGAGCGGGCGCGGAGGGGGGGGGTTAGGCTGGCGAGCTATGCTGTGGGCAGAATATTATTGATTTCTCTTCCTGATCTGTTATAGGAGGGGCGTGAGAAGAGAAGCTGTGATTTTTTTCCCCCCATTGGGGCGCTGTTGCGACCTGATCCCTCTTTGGTGGTTGTTGTGTAAACCTCTTAGTGTTTGCCTCTGAGCTGCATTCTTTTTCCCGCCCCCCCCCCCCCGGTTCATATCTCTGGGGAAGGATGGCATAATATATTTCCTCCCGCCCCATTGCTGTCGGCTACAAGGGCTGCCCTACCTGCTAGCAGTAAACGAGAATGGAGGCGAGGGGGCTTCCGTGATAAACCCTCCTGGTTTCCCTAATCCATCCTTTGAGCGTCAACAATGGGCTCGGATTAGTCGCTGGCATCTGGGCCAGAGAGCCCGGGTGGGGCTGGCAGGGCCAAACGTTGGCTCATCTTTGTACCTTTCCTCCAGATGGTAGCCCCCTAATAATTTTTACCAAGTAGGGAGAAGGGGGTTTGCCTTGAGTCTGGGAAGGTACTTTTTCAGTTGGGGGTGGCTGCTATGATGGCATAGGGGGTTATGTACTGCTTTCTTAATGCCACCCCATGTAAATTTTGTGTGTGTCCCCCCTGCTGCCAAAGCACTTCAGTTCCTCCCTAGCTCTGTATTGCCTTTGTCATGCTGTCAGTGTCTGCCTGCATGACTAGTGTTCAGTTAGGTGAGATCAGAGGCTTGAGGCACACCTTGCTGAGCAGTCCAGTGTCCAGCTGGTGTATGAGGGCTGAGGGTATTGTTGCTGCAGGACCATGTTTGGGGGGCCCTGTGATGACCCTGTTGTTGTGTTTACCTTTTGTTCAGTGTCACCATTGCTGGTGTTAAATTCCTTACTGGGGATGCAGGGCCGTTGGGAAAGAGCACATCCCCAGCCATAGAGACTCCTCTTTCCTTTATTCCTAGGTCGGGTTGTGGCTGCTTTAAGGCAAAAGAAAGAGGGAGGAAGTATTTAATGCTACCTTGGGGTGCCATGTGCTTGATCTTCTGGCCTTGCCTTAGCACAAGGGTGTCTAGGTAGGTTCTAAGCAGGGGCTGCTTTGTATTTTTAGCATGATTCTGTCCATATGGGGCCCAGCACTTTGCACCTGGGCAATCCTGGATTCCAGTTGCTGTTCTTTGTCTCTTTTAGGCCTGAAATTAGTGTTCTCTCACGATTTCCAGATTGACCTTGCTTTCATGTATGGGGGGTGGGTGGAATGAGGGGCTGGAAAATAGGCACTAGAGAATCCCTGGTGGGGGTGGACCTTCTTGCTATACCAAAGCTCTGAGGTGACTTCATCACTGTTCTGTTACCCTTGCTCACAAGATCTTGTTTCACCCTCCCAAAACTGAGGCTCTGGTGGTGATCTTTTTCAATCCTTCCTGTTGCTGAAAGGTCAGTAGCCTGTGATCTTGTATTCCTAAATGTCGTGGTTCCCTAAAAGTTTTCTATATTTGTATGAGTTAGGACTCTAGTGTAGATGTGGACGGTGGTGCTGGTAGGCTCATTTTTATCTATGACCAGCTTAGGGGTGACTTCTTCATAGTTGTGGTAAGATGGTCTGGGCCCCCAGCCTGGAGATCCATGTAGTCAGCACACCTGTGACCAGGAGGCTTTGTCAGTTTAGAGATGACAGGCCTCCATCCCTGGGGGCTGTGAGTGGGTGAGGATTCCTCTGAGGCTGCTCACCTGGAAGTAATGCAGTAGGGATTGAAGCCCATTGGGATACAAGCCAGCCTGAGTGTGGAACAGGGGAAAGACTTTTGAGGCTGTGGCACAATGAATAAGTGTTTCTTCCCTCTCCCATGTTTGGCCTTAAGGCCTTTGCTGTCCAGAAGCTTGGCTGATGAAATGAGACTTCCTCCTAAGAGTGAGGTACGTTCCATGAACCAACATGAAGGGGTAAGAGTGAAGTGAATTGCTATACTTGGTTGATGTTGAATTGGTGTGTGTTTCCTGTGTGCACTCACAGAAGTGTAATTGGATGACTATCTCTTAAGCTTGGAGTTAGTGTAAATATGTGATCTGGTCAAACCCCAAGCAAGAACAGGTTCCCCTTGTCCCTGCCCTTCCTTATTATATTAGTGACACACAAACAGTGCATTGCGGTGAAGGAAAGAAGACTTGTAATTTGACTTGGATGTAGGCCAGCTCACCCTTGCTGAGCCAGTGCTGGGTTCAAAGTCCAGGAAAGTGTGGCCAGCCAACCTGGGAAGGATTTATACTCTTTCCTGGGACTTGCAGAAGCTTCAGGTTTAGAGCCACAATGACCTTTTCAATGTGCAAGTCAAGCAGTTTTTCCTCATGACACCTGCTGCTCTATACCTGAAACTGTTAGCAGTTCTCAAAATAAGCTAAGGGTGATGGTGGCAGTGATCAGTAGGTCTTTGGCCAGGAGCTTTGTACTATTTAGGGTGACCTAAAAGGATAGGTGTTGTAAGATTAGTTGAAATGGCAACAGCTAGTATTTATAAATGGTTTAATATGTATCTGCTTATTTAATTTACAAGTGGATGACCCATGAGCAATTGAGGGGTCCTCCTTGCCCCCCCCTTCATGCTGGCTCTCTCCCCATTGCTGTCTGACCAGGTTACTCTGGCACCTGAAGTCTAGCAAGTTGGCCTTGTGACACTTCAGATGCCATTTTAGGCTGCTGTAGCAACCCACCAGATGCCAAGGTGTGCTGCACCTATCGTGCAATGGGGGATGTTCCATCGGGTGCCCAGTTCATGGCTCAGAGAATTGTACTATGTGGGGAGATCCTATGGTGCAATGGGAACTGGAGGCCTTGGTGTTCTGTCAGGCATCATTTTGGATTGCCTTAGGAATGTGAAATCTTGCAAGGTACTGTATTGATTGCCTTTACAATCTTAACTGTCTGTTGCATTTCTGACTCCCTTTGGTGTGGGGTGAAGGTAATCCAGTTTAGCAGTGAATGGGAATGTTTCATTTTTCTTCACATGGGGTTTCCCCCAAGTATGCAGAACCCTCTTTGTGCTTTGCCATGTTGCCTGGATTTTACTCTTGGCACAGAAGCCAGCACTTCAGAAGTATATATAGTGATGAAGTAATTTTGTGTTATTTTTTAACTGTCACATGCTCTCACTGGGCAGAACCTTCGAAGCCAGTTTGCCTCTTACTTATTTATTTATTTATTTATTTCTTTGATTTATATCCTGCCCTCCCAAAGGCTCAGGGCGGCTCACATGCGGCAAAGCCGAGGTATAAATTACAATAAAACATATCATAAAATACAATATTTAAAACAACAGTAAAAATCATCCTATAACATGGTGCTGAACCTATATAAATCTTCCAAGATGGGAACAGCCACCCAAGTTTGGCGGCCAGCTTTCTCAGTAGCGCGGTCTCCCGCTATGCTGTTCTCCCAGGCCATGCCTGCCCCCCTTTAGTAAGGCAGCCGATGACACACTACCTCGGTGGTAGGATAGTGGCGGCGGGGGCTCCTACTGGAACGCCTGGCGGAAGAGCTCTGTCTTGCAGGCCCTCCCCTAGGAGCTCGTTCTACCAGGTAGGAGCCGCCACCGAAAAAGCCCTGGCCCTGGTAGGGGCAAACTTAATCTCTTGGGGACCTGGAACTACCAGGAGATGGAGGTTCCCCGATCGTAGTGCTCTTGGGGGAACATACGGGAAGAGACGGTCCTTCAGGTAAGCCGGACCCTGGCCATTCAGGGCTTTAAAGGTAAGAACCAGCACTTTGAAGCGAATCCGGTATGCTATTGGCAGCCAGTGCAGCACTTGCAGCCCAGGCCGAATATGGTCTCGCCTAGAGAGGCCCAACAACAGCCTGGCCGCAGCATTCTACACTAGCTGCGGCTTCCGGATTTGCGACAGAGGCAGCCCTAAGTAGAGAGCGTTACAGTAGTCAAGCCTCGAGGTGACATGGATCACAGTGGCCAGGTCTTCGTGGTCAAGGTAGGGAACCAACTGCCGAGCCAGCCACAGATGATAAAAGGCCGCCCTGGCAGTAGCTGCTACCTGGGCCTCCATTGTCAGCGAGGAGTCCAGGAGCACCCCCAAACGCCTAGCCTCCTGCAGAGGCACCAGTGGCACCCCGTCGAAGACCAGGAACGGGAACCCCAACCCCAGACCGGTCCGACTCAGGCCCAGGCCCTCCGTCTTTGCCGGGTTTAATTTCAACCGACTCAGCCTGAGCCAACCAGCCACAGCTTGCTTCTTACTGAACAATTGGACAGAATGCTGCTATCCTTCTGTTATGAGAGAGACTCTTATTTAAATAGTGCTAATGATATTTATTTATTTAAAACATTTATTTGCCTCCTTTCTACAGTATAGAACTCAAGGCGGCTTAAGGCATTCCACAAAGGGCCTGGAACATCCGCAGGGATGAGAGCCAGCTCTCCTAACTGTGGGCTCCACTGCTATATAGTGTGGGTTGGACCAACTTGACTTAGCCTGTAACTGGGTCATGACCTGGCTAACTCTTAACAGGGCTTCCTGTCCAACACTGCTGTCAATTCAAGGCAGTTGCTAGTAATTATGTGTTATGTGGTAGTACCCTGGGGTTGATTCCTTTATAAATTTTGATCTCCCATGTGCTGGTTCACAAAGTGGAGCAACCTCTGCCCTCAAGGGCAAAGGGTGGGGCAGGAAATGAAGGGGAGAGTGGGAGTGATAAGACCAAGTTAATCCAACTGTTCAATTGTCTTTTGTTCGATGTCCCAATTTTATATCCATTCTGCTGTAATTGGGACCATGGTGGGTTGGCGCTTCCTATTCTTGGTGAATTACTATTGTACTTGTCTCATCCTCGAGTGAATTTTTGTCCTTACTTCCTAGCAGAAAGTGCTAGGCACGAACTGGGGAGCTCTGGATTCAAAGCCTTGCTCAGCAATGGCAATCATGAGTTGCGTTCAGACGGGGCATTTGCAACGGAATAGGTGCCGGTTGGAATCGGTGTACTTAC